CTATTTATTTCAGAACCCCCTTCCCCTCCCCCATTTCTGAAGAAGGGTCTAGGCCCGAAACATCAGCCTTCCTGCTCCTCTGATGCGGCTTGGCCTGCTGTGTTCATCCAGTTCTACACCTTGTTATCTCTAGTACAAAAACAGGCTCCTTTAAAATGTAATGTTGAAGAAGTTTGTTCTGCATATTTTACTTCAAATCAGTCATAGATGTAAAGTGACCATGATTAGGATATTATATCTCTTTTGCACTTAATTTGTTTAGAATATTGAATTCAGTTCCTCGTTTAGAGCAGGAGTCTGAAGTAATTTGAATTGTGATTGTAACGGGTTTGTACTTCCCTCTCCCCTCCCCCAGGGGAGAGTTCTGCTGCAATTTGGTGATGTAGTTGCATGCTGCAGCCAGTTAGATTTTCACAGCTCTCACGGTGTCCGAGGTGGTATTATGCTGGTGATATTTTCTCATGCTTATTCAAGCACTGATGATTCCCTCAAGCTTTACCCAAAAGTGCATTCTTTTAGCCTCTAACTAAACAAGGAGCAACTCTACTGTCTAAGAATTGTTATATTGCACAGAAAGTGTCTCAAATGTATAAGGAACACAAAAATGGCAGAGGTGAGTATTGGTATTAACTAGTTTGAAATGCAGCATGTTTGTTTGTTTGTTTGTTGCACAGGTAGCATTATGTGGACTACACATTTGGAGAATGTATCCACTATACACCCATCTATCAACAGTAAGACTTGCTGTTGAATGCTCTGCATTTATGGGTGCCTTGAGGCTGATTTGTAGCAAAAATCTTTGGTCGCATATACCCAGTATGTTTCTGTCTTGTGGTTGGCCTTTGTGAGGAAACTGAATTAACCCATCAGACACACTGTCAGTAACACAGAAGTTCTTGAGCATCTCTGTGACTGTCATGCACCGTGCCCTTTACACTATATTTGCCACAAACAGCAGCTGATGCTCTATTACTTGTTAGTTTTGAGTCTGACATCGGTAGATTTTTGTTAACCACATAGAATTTCATAGAATCCCTACAGTGTGGAAACAGGCCCTTCAGCCCAACAAGTCCATACTTACCCTCAGAGCATCCCACCCAGACCCATCCCCCTATAACCCACCTAATCTACACATCCCTGAACACTACGGGCAATTTAGCATGGCCAATCCACCTAGCCTGCACATCTTTGGACTGTGGGAGGAAACCGGAGCACCCGGTAGAAACCCATGCAGACACAGGGAAAATGTACAAACTCCACACAGACAGTTGCCCAAGGGTGGAATCAAACCCAGGTCCCTGGCACTGTGAGGCAGCAGTGATAACCACTGAGCCACTGTGCCACCCCAAAACCCAGGGTAGGTAAAATAGGTATATGGAGTTAGGTGACAGATAACCATGATCTTGTTGAATTGGGAAAGGGCTAAATGTTCACCTGCTGTTCTGATGTTCCACAGTTTACGGCTGAATGTGTTGGTTGTTGTGGTACTTGCTGAAGTGAACAATAAAAGTGCCAGGTTTCACCACTGTTCAGCTGCTGACTTATGTGTGTTTTTGGCTGAAGTATGGGGTTATTACGTTAATTGTGGAAGGAAAATTACCCTAATCACTGTTGGGATAGTGGAAATAGTATTAAACTGTACGTTCTTTCCCAGCATTGTCAAATAACTTGTAATTAATTCTGGCTGGCACATGATAATGCATGAACAGTTGACAATATTTGCTGCTACTGTCTTCAGAGACAAGATGAGTGTGTCTGCGACATAATTTCAAAATCGTTAAAAGGGTTAATACTACTTTTTGTTCATGGAATGTAAATGCTGCTGGCCAGCTAGTATTTGTTGCCCATCCCTGATTGCCCTTGAGAAATTGGTGAGCTTTGAATTGCCACAGTCTACATGGTGCTGAATGGAGTTTCAGAATTTTGATGCAAGACTGTGAATGATATTGTTCCAAGTCAGAATAGTGTGTGGCTTGGAAAGTTCCCATACCTCTGCAGCCTTTATTTTTCGCTGTGGTAGAGTTTATGGTTTGGAAAATGCTGTTAAAGAAGCCTTGTATGTCGTACACACTGTTGCCATTGTGTGTCAGTGGTGGAGGGAGTGAAGTTGGTGAATGGGATACCAGCCAAGCGGACTGCTTTATCTTGGATAATGTCAAGCCTCTTGAGAGTTCTTGGAGTTCAATGTCCAGGCAAGTTGAGAGTTTTCCAGCACAGTCCTGACTTGTACTTTGTGGATAATGGAGTGGATTTGAGGAGTAAGGAGTTGTGCTATTCACCACTGGATTCCCAATCTCTGACCTGCTCTTGTCGTCCACATCTATATAGCTACCTTGATTGTAGTTACCACCGAAGCAGCATTCTAAGTTCCTAGCTGTGCTGTTTATCACACAGACTGAGGGAAGTATGTTAATTGAAAGTGGCAACAGTAAATAGTGTCTGGTATCCAGCAGTTCACTAAATTCAAGAAAAACTGCTTGAATCAATTTGGATCTATTTAATAGTGCTTCTTCCATGAACCCTAGAAATTCATGTGACTGGTAATGTGCAAATACAATGAAAGCTGTAGACTTATTTCCAGCTCTCTGCTGAATGATCTGATATCAACATTAACAGTTGGCCTCAGTATTCATAGATTATGGAGGGATTTACTGTGGTTTTTGCTTCTGCTTTCCATCCAGAAGTTTTCTGCTTGAAAGTGCATGCATGTGATATTCAAATGCAGGTATGTTAACCAAACTGTGTTGGCTCAGTTGTCAAATAGGTCACTTTCCTGACCCAGATGCAGAGTGTGACCACCATTAGTGAAACTATTCCATTAAGATTAGCTGTCTGTTTTTGAACAAGGAGAATGCAGTCTCCAAGACCGACTTCTGCAATCAGCAGATCTTGTCTGTGCTGATTTTTAGTCTTAGACAATTAATGTGATTTTAAAATGATGTGGACGTGTTCGGTAATCACACCTTCAACTTTTGAGGTGCAATGAGCAGGCAAGCAAAGAGTTTTTAATGTTTTTAGGTATCTTGGATTGCACCAAAAAGCCAATGAAAAGAATTTCCCTCTGAGAGGCAAGAAACTAAATATTTATTATCAATCAATATTGCAGGCAGAAGCACAGGATAGCAATCAATTACTCCATCATTATCCAGTTTCATATTCTGCAACTCTAGTGTTCTGGCCTCGAGCATGAGAAGCAATGATTGGCCATATTTATCCATGAAGTGGCCACTTGAGAAAGTGTTCAAAAGTTAATAAACTTGGATTATTAAGGAACAAAAACAGAAGTTGCTGGAAAAACTCAGCAGGTCTGGCAGCATCTGTGAAGAAAAATCAGCGATAACGTTTCGGGTCTGGTGACCTTCCCTCAGAACTGGATTATTAAGTTTTGTTTCCAAATTTAAATTATGCAGTAGAAAAATTGCCAGTTGCTATGTAACAGCACATCCATAATTACCTGTGCAAAGATGGTGGCGAGTTGCCTTTTTCTCCCAAATATATTCTTTTCTCACATAATTTGAAAGGTGCATTCCTAACAGTTCAAATCTGACTGAGTGCATTACAGATCCATTTTTTTCAATTCAGTACATAAATTACATCACTGCACTTGTAATAATAGGTTCCAGAACAATTCACGTTGTTCCTTTGCATTTCATGTCGGATATTCTCTGGTCTGTGTAGCCTGAGGATTACACATTCCTCGCCCTCAGGATGCGATGTCCAAAGCGCTTGGAGAGTTGCCTTTCCCTGTTGAACCTTTATGACCGTTTATTGCATCCTTTGCATGTTTGACCTGGACCTTTGTGCATGTGATAGTGCAGCACTTGTTTGTTGGTGGGATTTTGTATTGGAAGACTAATAGATTTAATTCAGACTGAAGAATTTTTTTTCATCAGTTAATAGTCTTCCAGCACAGGATGATGCTGACCTTGGTTTGTCTCTGGGAACAGCTCATACAGCAGGGGTCCTGCATAATGCAGGTGAACCATTTTCTTAAATGCAACACATTGGCCTACTGGACTCTTCTGAAGGGCAGGTAAAATAAACCATCTTACTGTTGATCCACAGTCATATGTAAACCAGAATTGAGTAAAGACAGCATATTTCCTTCCTGAAAAGACATGAATAAACCAAGTGTGCTTTTACAGCAATCTGGGCACCATTACTGAGATGATCTTTTTATTTAATTATTTGAATTTAAATTTCCCTGTTGATGGAAATTGAACTTTTGTTTCCAGATTCATCTGGATTTCTACTAATCCAGTAATCTTCAAGTTATTGCAAAGTACTGGAGAACCTGGGCATGATATATGTGCAGAATATAAAATTTCACTTTTACTGGGCAAAATGCCTAACAATCGAGACTGAAAGGGTATCCAGTGCATCACTCAGGTTTTTGTTTCTTACAGAGTTACTCAACCAAACTGTCTCTAGAGGATTCCCACCTCAATTTCTATGGCTTTCAAAGTATAAACAAAAGAAGGATTTCCAGTTGCATGGATCCCTGCGGATGGAACATGCACATGGTCCATCATCCTCGACCAATCAGAAAGGTAAGAAGATGTTCCACAAAATAAATGGGAAAGCCCTTTCAGTCTTTGCCATGTTTCTGCCAATTTTGCCTCTTTCTATCTTGAAGGGGTTGATTGTGAGTTACGGTGTCATGCCATTGCAACTGGGTACACTGACTTCAACTTTGAACTTAGACTCAGTGTAAACAGACTTTTCAAGTGTGGGAGAACATAAACTTTGAAATTGATTATCCTGTTCCTTGATAATGATCAAGAATGTAAACTCCAGCTGATTTAATTCCACATAACCCAGAGATTCTGTTGCTGAATACCATATCTAGCTGAAATCTATAGCTCAATAAAAATTAAGGATTAGAGTTGAGATTTTCCTGAGTGTATGCTGAATGATGTTTTACTGCCCAGAATTGTACTTGTATATAGTGTTGATGATATTCAGTGACGCTCAGTCTTGTATTGCATTTACATATTTTCAGAGTAAATCTGACACAATAAACCGAATACATACTGTATTAAATTGGACACTTTATCAGACAGCTCAGGTCAATTAGTTTCTGTAGTCATGGAGGGAGGCTTGTATTTGAATGAAGGAGGATGTTTTGAGTCTGGAAGTATTTGAATCATAGAAGGTTATGTCACAGAATTCTGCTGCTTGACACATTTGCTATGATTCTTTGTTTGCACATGCTGACTACTTGAATTCAGGTTTACTATGTGTCTCCACACCCATAGATATTCCTTTTTGCTGAAACCAATGATCCAATTCCCTTTTAAAAGAGCACTTATTGTTCAGTAATGGTTTGTGGCTGCGAATTCCATCGTCTAACTGCTTTTGTGGCTTTGTTGGACTGGAACTTGGAACAGTATGGCACTGTACTGTCAAATCCAAGCACTGGGTATGGTTGCTATGAGTGACTTAAAATTTTTTTTTAAATTATGGCACTTTTAAATTTGTGAATCCAACACACTGGATGATACCTTTCGTCTCCCTGGCAGTGTATTGGAGACCATTATGACATCACACACCATCATTGTGACTTTATAGCATCAAATAATGCTCATTCGAGCTATCTATTCTCAAACGAAAGTTGAAGATGCTCTTCAGCTATCCATTCAGGTAAAGGTGAAGCAAATAACCAAACGACAAATTGCACTGTTCATGGAATTTTTCTTATTTGTAAAGCTGTTAGTGAATTGTAAATCCCAACGTCCACGATGTCATGTCTAATTTTAAATGCTGACACATTTTTGTTTTGCTGGTGGGGTTTTGCAGTTTTCCTTGTTAGTTTTGTACTGGCTGATTTTCTCCGTTTTTACTATATTGTTTCCATCTTAGAACTCCCAACTGTTAATGCAATTTTTTCACTAAATTATGGCAGTGAAGGCTCAAAGGGACAAATGGCCTACTCCTGCTTCCAGTCCGTGTTTTTATGTGTCTGTGTGTGTCTATTGTGTTAAAACCTAAGTGAATTGAAATAAATATGTAATTATGCTGAGATAGCGAGAACTACAAATGCTGGAGTCGGAGATAACGAAGTGTGGAACTGGAGGAACGTAGCAGGCCAGGCAGCATCAGAGGAAAAGGAAAGCTGATGTTTCGGGTCAGGACCCTTCCCGAAACGTCAGCTTTCCTGTTCCTCTTATGCTGCCTGGCCTGCTGTGTTCCTCCAGCTCCACACTTTGTTATCGCAAATAATTATGCTGTTGTTTTTCAGGAAGAATATAAATAGATCTTTTACTGGGTGTAGATCTTGACCTAGTGTATTAGTATGACATTTGTGAAAGCAAGCCAGTAATCTGTTTGACATCTCCCTTATTTTTTATGTCATTTAGAGGTAGAGATTTATGAAGACTGTTGACTAGTAATTACGCATTTCACACTCTTGGACAAAGTCAAGATCTATGCCAGTTACTTTATCCTGTAAAGATATGACTCTATTTGCGTGTTTAGCCATTTATTCCTACTTAACAAGGGAGGATTGATCCACACCAGTGGACATTCTTATGTGGATCAGATTACAAGCATACCTTTACTGCATAAAAACCAAAAAAACTGTGGATGCTGTAAATCAGGAACAAAAACAAAGTTGCTGGAAAAGCTCAGCAGGTCTGGCAGCATCTGTGGAGGAGAAAACAGAATTATCGTTTCGGGTCCGGTGACCCTTCCTCAGAACTGTTCCCATGTATCTGCTGCTCTCGTCCGTCCAGATGGAAGTGGTCTTGGTTTTGGGGGGTGCTGTCTGAGGGTCTTTGAATTTCTGCAGTTCATCTTGTAGTTGATACACACTGTTGCTATTGAGTGGTGAAGGGAGTGGATGATTGTTGGTATGGTGCCAATCAAATGGGCTGCTTTGTTCTGGATGATGCCAAGCTTCTTGAGTGTTGGAGCAGCACCCATCCATGCAAGTGGGAAGCATTCCATCACGCTCCTAACTTGTGCCTTGCAGATGATGGACAGACTTTGGGGATCAGAAGGTGAGTTATTGAGTGATCTTAGTGATTATAGGGAACAATAACTTTTCATGGTCAGTTTTAGAGAAAAAAGTGGTAGCCTACCGTGTTAACAATGTGCCATAAATTAGTGTTAAAATTTCAGCCATTTCCAGAATAAATACTTAAGCTGGCACGGGATGTTAAGACTGCCAACATATTGACAAATCCTCATACTTAAAAAAATTTTAAACGGTAATAGAGATGCATGAGTTCTTAGGAGGACTTAGGAAAGGAATTAAATTAAGACATGGACTATGGAAAATATAACAGAAAACTAGACGTAAGACAGAGATTTAAGGAAAATGAAAGTGTACATAAAGATAACTGAAGTTTGGTGACAACACAACAGAATGCAGCTAAGTATAAGTTAGTTTGAAGAATCTTTTCATAAATTTTCCTTTAGTTTACTTTTATCTGGTTATTTAATTTTATTTATGATCATGTTGCATAATCGGTTGATATCACAACAACCATAAAACCATACTAGAATTGAAATTCCTTTTCTGTACGTAACTTCAGGATATTTCTTGAACCATGAAGGAAATGGTTAAATGCTATGTTGGAGTCTGTTTCTTTCAAAGGGTGAATTAGGTCAGCCAAATTACCTTCTTCACATGCAGTAATCTTTACAATTAGTTTGGAATTTTTTTTTTGTGTGGCTCCAAAGTGCGAAAGCATTTTCTGAAAACGTCTCCTGTGAGTTCTTGCAGTCTTTGTATGATTATCATTGTAAATGGTTGTTGTGTATGCAGAAATTGCTTTGAAATAAGCCATTACAGATTGTATCTTAAACATCCACATTCATAGCTGAGCCTGACATGCAGATCATGCTTTAAACATCCATGTTTGTGACTAAACCTATTCTATACAAACGGCACTGATGTGTATGCATTCTCCATTAGAGTAATGCACTGAGTAATGATTGGGAGAGTGAATCATGGCAATTTTCTTTCATGTTTGCATTCTCCCCGACCCACCCCCACTTCCCTGTTCCGGGATTCTGAGCCAATGAAAATGCTTTTATTGCAGTGATCAGCACCTTGACAGAGATCAAACCTTGTGTTCAGTTTGGAATATTTTGTTTAAAATTAAGGGCACCCTCTTTGGTGTGTTTGTCGCTGTAGAAATATTTTACAATTTGTAAAAAAAAATCACTTCTCTTTTGAATTAATTATCTTTAAGGACTTTTTTACCTTTGTATTTGATACATATGTGAAGTCGATAAGCAGTTTCCAACAGTATAATATATATGAAGGATAGAACATACGCTGTTTAAAGTTCAAATAGTTTGCATGTGATAAATTAATGTTGAAAGACACATGCAAATAAATGGCCAATCAGGATTTGCAGTAGGGTCATTGCAACTCTGCAAGTGCTGCTGCATTGACTAGAAAACTGAAGGACTGATCTTGAGCGTAGTCTACCCATATTGGATGCAAAAGCAAAATATTAAAGCTGTTGGAAATCTGAAAAAAAAAATATAGAAAACTGAAGAATACAGAACCCCACCCCGCCCCAGTTCCCTTTAAATATTTCTCCTCTCACATTAAACATTGTACAACTGCAACATGATGTCCCAACTCCTATAGTCAATGCTCTGACCAATTCCTTGAGATTAAGATTGTCTTTTATTGCAAATGAATTGGTACCAACATTTGAATGAAAGATTTTAAGTGCCTTTATCCTTGCATTAAGTACATCACCAAATTTCACTTAAGCCATTCACTGCAGTGCTTTCCAGGGTAAACTGGTATAAGGCTGTATGAGCATTGGAGTAAAAGTAGCTCGTTTAATCCACAGATTCTGCTCCACCATTCAATTAGATCATGACCTGATAGTCCTGAACTCCATTTCCTGCCTTTTCCCCATAACCCTCGATGCCCTTACTGATTAAAAGTCTTTCTCAGCCTTGAATATTCTTAATTACCCAGCCTCAACAGGCCTCTGCGGGAAAGAATTCCACAAATTCCCTATCCTTTGAGAGAAAAACAGAGTCCTCCTCATTTCTGACTTAAATAAGTGAGTCCTTACTCTGAGATTCTGCCATCTGGTCCAAGACTTCCGCACGAGGGAACAATCTTTCTGCACCTACCCTACCAACCCCCTAAGAATCTTGTACATTTTAATAAGGTCTCCTCTCATTCATCTAATCTCCCAATGAGTACAAGCCCAATCTACTTAACTCTTCTCATAAACAAATTCCCTCATACTTGGGATCATCCTAGTAATCCTTCTACAATCAATGCCTTTCCTTAGATAGGACCATAGCTGTTTACAATGTTCCAGCTGTGGTCTGATGAGTGTTTTCTATTGTATTGGCAAGACATCCCTATTTTTATACACCATTCCCTTTGTCATAAAGGCCTACAGTCTATTCGCCTTGCCTATTACCTGCTGAACCTGGATGCTAGCTTTTGTAATTCATGCACATGGACCCCAAATCCCTCTGCAGCTTTCCCCATTTTAATAATAATCAACTCTTCTCTTCCTGGTGAAGGGCATAACCTTATATTTCCCACATTCTATTTCCA